AATTTTGAATATAGAAATAGAATTGATTTTGCATATTTATCTTGTATCTAGAAACACTGCATAACTCAATTACATTTCTAATATTTGATCTAGTTTTTTAAGAATTTTATGTATTTTCAATCATTTCATTTGTGAAAATAGCAGTTTTATTTTTTCCTCTTCAATCCTTTTACGTATTGTATCTTTTCTATACCTGAGCAGACTGGCAGGTAGGATTGCAAGTAAAAATGTTGAATAGAATGATAATAGTAGACCTTCTGATCTTTTTCTTGATCTCAAAGGGAAAGTTTTTATGTGCCATTTCACCACTGAATATGATAATTTCATATATAAGTTTCATATATATTTTTATACATTTCTTTTACTCATATTTCACACACACAGATACATACTCTATCAGATTAAGCATATTTCCTAGAAAAATTTGCTAAGAGGGTTTTAAAATGAGTGGTTGTTGGATTTTACCAAGTGCTGTTCCTCTACCTAATGATAATCATACAATTTTTCTTCTTTATGCTGTTATTGTGATCAGTTACACTGATTGATTTTTTTAAAAAGACAACTGCATTCCTGGAATAAACTCAACTTGGTAATGATTTAGTATCCCTTTTAGATGTTGCTGGATTCAATCTGCTAATGTTTTCCTTAGGATTTTTGCATCTATGTTCATAAAAAGAATTTTTTTTATCTTTCTCATGACATCCTTGATGGTTTTTGCTTTTTGCTATACTTACTTACCTCAAAGGGGGCTTCCCTGGTGGAAGGGGACTTCCTTCAGTGATAAAGAATTTGCCTGCAATGCAGGAGACACAGGGGAGATGAGATTGATCCCTGGGTCAGGAAGATCCCCTGGAGGAGAAAATGGCAACACACTCCAGTCCTCTTGCCTGGAAAATCCCATGGACAGAGAAACCTGGTGAGTAAACAGCTGGACACAACTGAGCAACTTAGCACATACACACACATTGGCCTCAAAAACTTAGTCAAAGAGTGTTCCTTCTTTTTCTATTACCTGGAAAATTGTGTGTAAGAATTCTTCAAGGTTTGGTAGAATTCATCCATGAAGCTATCTGGCCCTGGACTATTCTTCTTGAAAAAGATATTTTTATGGGTTTCCCCAGGGAAAGAATAGAAAACCTAAGAATCATTCATTGTTCAGGGACTTCTGAGGGGTAGAAATGAGAGAGAGAGGGAACTGATGGTGTATGGCATTTCAAATTATCTGACATTTTCCAAAGACACTCTGCTCTTGTTTACCAACTGTCATGCCACACATCTTTAAGCTGGCAGATCTGTGGGATAATGAGTCTATGAGCATAGTTCTCAAGCTGCCTGATCCCATCTTCCCAATGATCCAGAGGCAAGTCTCTCCAATGGTGTTGGGCAGAGAGCTGTGAGGGGAGGGGGAGGAGTGACCGGTTTAAGCAGACAGAGGCTCTTTGTTTGCCCTGCTTATGTAAATCTTATGTTGTAAATGAGGCAACATTTGGAAACAAATATTGGCTCAGAGGACTAACGCCTTCATGCCATCTCCTTTTAGGTCAGCTACCCAACCTCCCTGCACGTACACACAATTTCAGCTCTTTCAATAAGAAGGCTTGTTGAAATGTAAGACTTTTATTCAGTTTATGGTGGAAGATTTGGGTCAAGACTTAGATTCGTCTGTAACTGGAAACTCTCTCTCCTGCCTCCCTTCCCCCTTTCCATCCTCCCTTCCTTTCCCTCTTTCTCCTCTCATTTTCTGGACAAATGAAGAGAAGATCAACATAGAAAAAAAGGAAAGAAGATCAATATGAAAAAGAGAGGACCAATATTTTTTTTAAAAAGGAGAGAAGATCAACATCAAGAAGGCAGCTGTGGTCTAGAGAAGGCTGGGACTTAGGAGATTTGAGTTCAGGTCCCAGAGCTCTGTGAATGAGGAATTTCATTTTACTATGATGTCCACAAATAAAAAGTGGTGAGCTAATCTTATCTCCTTAGGAAGTTGGTCAAGATCACAAGGTCTTGCCTCAGGACAGTGTCTGGCATGTGGAACAGTTGAAAACATGATTCTTTCCTTTCATCTGAACATGATAAGCCAATGTGTGCCTGAGATGCTGCAGTCGGGGCACCCAGATTTCTCCCAGAGACAAGCTCTTCTGCAGTAGAAAATGGGTCCATGTGTCTGTGGAGAAATGGCAGGACTGGAGGTTCTAGATCTGTCTCTCTCTCAGTGTCACCCCAAACAAACCTCTTGGCCTCTATGTTTGTTCCTGTTCGATGGCAGAGGCAGTGTCCCTGGTGGATGGGTTCACACACTCTGGAACCAGACAGCCTGATTTTGCACCTGGCTCACCAGCTGACCTTGGAAAGTTATTAACCCCTCAGAACCTCAGGCTCTTCATCTCATCTGTAAAATGGTGAATCTAATGCACCTATCTTACAGGGCTAGGGTGAGGGCCCAGTGAATCTCTCAGCAAGTGTTAGTCATCATCAAACTGTAAAAGAGGGATGATGAGTTTCATGAGGCCAGAGTGTCTCTAGTAAAGAATTAAACACCAGAAGGGAGAGCAAGTGTCATGGGACAGGGACAATTGTCACGAGAGAGGGACAAGAGTCATGGGCCACCAAGGACACAAAACACTGACTCTTTCACCTCTCACCTCCACACACCCCCTTACACATTATAGATGTGGGCACGGCCATACCACCAGGGTCACACACACATGGACCACTGCAGCCAGCTTCACCCCTTGCCTCCCAGAAGTGACAGACACAGACCTCTATCCTGTCCTCTTGAGCAAGAACCAAGGCCCACGTGAGAAAAGGGCATAAGATTCTGTTCTCTGTGTCTCATCTGGCCCTTCTTCAGATTCCATGGGCCTGCCTGTCTGGGGCTCAGAGTCAGAGGGCTCCACTGAGGCAAGGCATGGGCTTGGCTGGCCTGGAGAGAACTCTGCCTGGCCAGAGTGCTCCCTCTGAGGGGCTCAGGCTAGGCGGTGGGGCTGTTCCTGGAGGGACTGACTCAGGAAAGGCTCACTTGTAAGTGTAGAAAGGACCCCAGGAGAGGATCATGGTCCATCTGTCCTCCACCGAGCTCCCCTGAGTTTGTGAAGCAGCTCAACATTTGACAACTCTCCTTTCTGCTTCTGGGCAGACTCTGCAAGCTCACTGCAGGACCTGTAGAAGGGGTGAGCTGAGAGGGGCACCCTGATCTGCAGAGTCTCACCCAGCCACCCCTGCCCTTGACTCTCTCCCTCCATCTTTTTCTCTGTACCTCAAGGTGCCCCCATGAGATCAGACCACCCCCTAATGCCTGATGCAAGGGGCAGCAGGAACACGCCCCTCCTGCTAAGATGCTGGCTTTCCCAAGGCTGGAGCAGAGGCCCTCCCACCCCAAGGGCAGGGGCAGAAGAAGAGCAGCAGGGATTTGGAGAGATGGGCTTGTCTTCTGTCCCTGCTGTAAACAGCAAGTCCCTGCTAACACAATGCTCACTGTACTGGGGTGTGTGTGTAACCCCTTGCACATCAAACAATCTACTGGGGTGTGGGGAATTTATCCTAGCTACAGGTTATATTTACACCTCCTGCAAAAGATAAATAAGTTAATATTCACTCCTGCTTCACATGAGGATTAGCACTGGCTCCCATCTGGTGTGCAGGCCAGACGGATGCACAGCATTGAGGGCCTTTGAGGTGTCCTGAGGAAAGAAGTGAAAAGTCTCACAAAGAGTGAGGTGGGGAAGGGAATGCTGGAAGGTTGTAATTCCCTGACTTGTTTTTTACTTTTGACTTCTGTGACTCCACATTTTGTGGTTTGCACACGCCCAGTAAAATGGATGTACAGATGAAGTAATGTGATTTAACTCATCAGATCTCACAAGATGCACAAGATGCCTTAGAAAGATTTCTGCAAAGAAACTAGAAGATGATTCTGAAATCAAAAACATAAGTGAGTTAAAATGGCACTACTGACATATCTTCTAAGCCTGGTGTAAATTAGTGTAAATAAAACCAATAACAATGACCATTTGATCAAGTTGGATAAGTAGCTTTCTTAAGTAACTTAAGAAAACCCTAAAATTATCTTGATGATCCCCTGGAATATGGATTTACAACAACTATCAGGAACCTTACTCTCTCCCTAAGTGTATATTTTGCTTTGAGATATTTTTCATTGTATATAAGGCAAATAGACATTTTTAAATGAATATTTCATTTTTCCCATAGTTTAAACTTTTTCTATTACTTTCATGATTGAAATAAACATGTTAGTTTTAAGTATATATATGGAATGTACAGCTTTACTATTTTTCCTGATAAGGATGGGTGATCAAAATGTTTTGGAGACCACTTTTTTGGAGGGAGCTGGGGATGAAACAGGGGATTGAGATCAGACCACATCCTCTCCTGGGTCCCTTTCTTTGTGTTCATGAGTCTCTTGCCCTGAGTTCACAGAGTCTTGATCACACGCCTGGACAGCTCCTTGTGAGAGAGACGTCTCTCCTGTGACTCTGTCCCTAGTCAAGGTGCTCAGTAGTCTACATGAAGGGGAGGAAGGTTACCTGTCTAGGATCCTGTGCTCAGGAGGGTACACAGGGACAAAAACTGGTCCTTGGGGTTTTAAGGGCCCAAGAAGGAGCAGGGTTTCTGGATATACCTTGAAACAAGTGAAAAAGGATGAATCTGTTGTCTTTGACTTGTGATCAGCTTATTCTCTCACACCCTCTCTCAGGAAGGTCTCTCTGCCTGTCTTCTACCTATTCTAGTCTGCCTTTGGGGCAGTCGGCTTCCTTCCTCTATGGAACGAGCACAGAGATTGATTGAGGACCAGCTCTGGCTCCCCAGGATTCAGAAGCAGAGCCACCCCCCACACCAGCCGGCTGCAGCTCTGCTCCTGGTACAGAGCAAGCACACATTAACAACGGGCTGATTTGTCTTTCATTCCCTTCCAATCAGCACTTTTTTGTTGGATTCCACCCACGGGTCTGTTCCAGAGGTCAGGAAATGTGATCAGCCTGGGCGCGGAATGAAGGGGGAGGGCTGAGGGGCGATTGGGCAACCGGGCTGAGCAAACAGAAGGGGTCAAGGATTGTGCTCGGCCAGCCCCGCGGGAGATATAGGGGCGCCGGGCGCAGAGAGGCAACGCAGAAGCCGGTCGGTCTGTGCTCTGCGCTCCGCGTCACAGACCGGGGAAGATGAGGCCCGCTGTCCGCGCTCTGTTAGCCTGCGCGGTTCTGGGTGAGTGTGGCCGCTGGGAAGGCCCTCAACGTCGCCGGCCCTGGCGCCCCCTGCGTCTCGGAGCCCCCTGCACCTTCCCTGGGCTCCGCGCTGGAGCTGGAAGCCTGGGACCTTTCCTTCGCTTCTCCCCGCCGCACCCTCGCACCTGCTTCAGCACTGCCTCGGGGACAGCTCTGCGCCTGCGCGCACCTTCCGGACTTGCTGGTGCCTCTGCCACCTTTTCACTCTCTCCTTCCTTTCTCCTCGTACCCAGTAAATCTCGTGGTAGCGGAATACAGTAAATTAGGGCGCTCCCATCCAGGTTTATCAAATCCCTTTGTTGCGGCCTCAAATAAGTCCAAACTGCTTAGGATGGCCATCAAGGCCTTCCCATAGCTGGTCCCACCCCCACTGACAGTCTGATGTCCCATGGGTGCCCTTGGTGCTGACCGTGCCTCACTAATGAGACAGGTCTGTCGAAGGGTCCCGAGCATGGGGTTTGAAGCCAAACCTTGAAGGGTAGTGTAGCTTGGCCTGGGAGGGTCCCATGGAAGTAAGTAAGGCCACAGATCCAGGCACTGGTGGAGTGGACCTTGCTACACACATCTGTGTTTCGCAGCTTGTAGCTGTTGGGCCCGCTTTGTCCTCTAACTTCTGCTGGCCACTCGTGGTGCCTTTATCTTACCTTTGGAGCCTTCTGTGTTTAGTTACTTGACTCTATTGAAAAAGTTAGCCCTTGAGAGTCCACCCACTTTACTCACCTTTACCCTTCCCCCTCCCAACCTCAGAGGATCTCACAAGGCTGTGGAAGGTAAATGCATGACTGAGGACAAACACCTGTCTTTGGGACCTCAGGAGGGATGGTTTGGGGAGGGTCTGGAGGAGTGGTTTTGGGGAAGTCTGCCACTGACCCCTTGTTGCCTGGTTCGATACCCCATGGGTGGAGCTGGGGTCAAGGGTGATTGGGGAGTAAATTTCCTGTGGCTCCTGTTTTTCTATCCTGGAGAACCATTCCCTCCCTATCTCCTGCTTTGTGCATCATAGATATTTATCAGCTTTGAGTCAGCCCTGTGCTGTTGATCCATAGAGTGGAGATGACAGAGGGCTTTGGGGAGAGTGCCAAATTCTCATATCATGGGAGCAACACATCTGCAGCCATGGTGATTGATTTTTCGCGGACACAGCTGGCTTTAGCTTCTCCTAGTGACAGTTCAAAGGCCTAATTGTGGAAATTGAAGGAGGGGTCATTGGAAACAGAGAAACATTGAATATGTAGAGTTTCTAGTTTTTCCTAAAACAGAGGATGACAGATGAGCATCGCAGGCAAATTCATTGCCTCATCAATCATTTACCCCTTTCTTCTGGCCAAGCAGATGGAAAACAACTCAGAATGTTATCTTCTTTTGTTACCTGGGCAGAGACCAAAGTCTGGAGACCTGATTTCTAGACCACTTAGCTATTAAGAGGCTAGGTAACCTTGGGTAAAGCATCACTCTTTAGTATCTAAAGCACTCTAAAGCATCTTTTCTGAAAGATACTAATTACTAGAAAATGTGATTCCTACCCTGCTGGCTTCCCAGAGTTATAGCATTGAACCAACAGCTTGATGTAATTAAAAATCCTCCGTGTATGTGGAAGTTTGTATTCCAAGGCAGGCCACATGTCATGAGGTGAAAGGAGGTTCAGAGAACACAGAGGGACAGGTTGTTGTCGCCAATTGAGAGCTAATGGTCAAGCCAGCATCCCTCTGATCAGCACATGCTGGTCAGTGGGAAACTAAGAGGCCATTAGGATACTTGTCACTTGTCCCCAGACTCAGAAAGCAGTGGAACCTCTGCCCTTGTTGTTCATGGACAGTAGTGGGGTGAACAGGAGAGAATGGAGAGGACGTAGCCTCCATGACCCTCCAGAGGCTGCTGCTGTCCTTCCCACTGACACAGGGGCCTCTGGCCTCTCTCCCCTAGGGCTGTGTCTGGCGGACCCCGAGAGAACTGTGAGATGGTGCACAATTTCAACTCATGAGGCCAGTAAGTGTGCCAGTTTTCGTGAAAACATGCTTCGTGTCTTTGAGACTGGTCCTTTTGTCTCCTGTGTGAAGAAAACCTCACACATGGATTGCATCAAGGCTATCATGGTAAGTCACTGCCGCTTAAAAGAGAGTGGAAGAAAATCCATACTTTCTCTTCCCTGTCATTTGGAATGATTCTGTACTCACAGGTAGGAGACTGGTGTGTGGAACAGTCAGCCCCTGGTGCTAGTAAAATCATTTTAGAACTGAAAATAGAAGCAGTCATCTTTAACGGCTTAAAGGAAAATATAGCATACTCTAAAAGGGGACTATTTTTGACCCACTAAGTTCTCTGAAGTCAGAGAAGAAATCCATGCTCTCAAAATGACCATGTAACACTATTTTGGAGGTTCCTGATGCATCAAAAGAAGTAGATGAATGATACACACAAAGAAGAGGAATACATTGTCGTGATTGAAGATTATGGCTGATCCTTTTGTTCTAGGTTTTCCAAAATACTTGTTCAACATTGTTCCTACTCATCTGAACATGGGTCAGACCCTATGCTGGGCAATGGGGCTGTAGCGGTGACTTTAAGCACACATGGTCCTGATTCTTGAGTAGCTTACAGTCCAGTCAGGAGAGAAGAAAAACATGCAAACAAGTAGACATGAAATTTCAAATTATGTGATGTACAATGGAGGAAAAGAAACAGAACTTTCAGAGGAAACTTGTTCTGGTCTGGGTGTCAATGGTAATCTCCCTGAGAGGGAGCAATGAATCTGAGACCTCAGGGTTAAGTATGGGTAAGCCTGCCAAAAGCTACAGGTTAAATATGTCAGGTAGTGAGCCAGAGCAGGTGCAAAGGGCCTGAGACAGGGGAGAGCTGGACTTGTTTGATTTTCTGTAGGGAAGCTAGGGTGACTGGAGCAGAGCAAGCAGGAGACTGGAAGGAGTTGGGGAGTATACATAGACTCAGTCAGATGGAGCATGATTAACTGAAGGAATCAGTGTTTTTGTATAAATAACTGGTCTGTTGTGTGTGTGTGTACTGAACCTCAGTTACTATCTAGGCTTAATTATAACTTTTGATTTATGACTTACTTTCAGATTTGGTATATGCATACCCCTCTTTGTTTCAAAATACATTTATAATATGAAATAATACTATCCACAAACCTACCAGAGGTTCTCAAAACTTCACCATTGCCAGTAGCTGACTTTTAGGGCTACTGTGTGGCAGCATGGATTCTACAGGAACTTCATCACTTGGGGCAGTGTAACCCTCTGACCCTGCTTAGAACTATCCATGTATTTCCCTATCCAGTGCAAACAGAATCCCAAAACTTTCTTGCTTTTTATTTAGACTTGCATAGGTATTTGTGGATGATTGCATAGTTTTGCTTCTTAAAATATTTTATAAACATGTCATTACTATGTGTTGGCTTCTCATACTTGCTTTTTCCTCCTCAATGTTATACTAGGATTTCACCTATGTTGTTGAATACAGCTATTGTTCATTCATTTTCAGAGCTCTGCAAAAGTCCATTGTGTTAGTATGCCACAGTTTATTTTTTCTTTTCTGGTCATTAGGCATTTGGATTGTTTCTAGTTTTTTGTTATTCTAATCAGGGTTTGAGGAATATTTTTACACAAATCTCCTGGTACACAAGTATTACTAGTTTCTCTGTAATATATACATACAAACAGATTTTCTGTGCCATGGGATGTTGTGAGTATTTGACTTCAAAAACAATGCCAAATGTATTTGGGTTTTTAAGCAAATGCAATGTGGTTATTCAAATTTCCACTGTCACCAGCCGTATATGAAAGAATAATCCATATAACTCTTGGTGAATTTGATATTTTATCATTATAAGTTAATCACTGTCTCTGGCAGTGCTTTTTAACTAGTTTATTTTTCTGATATTAGCATACTACATTAACTTTCTTTTAACTAGGATTGTCCTTCTATGTCTCTTTCCATTCCTTTATTTTCAACTTTCTGTGTGATTATCCTTCAGGTGTGTCTTATGAAAATGGTATGTTGCTGGGGATTTTGTTTATTAATGAAATCTGGTAATCTCATTTGTTTTGTGTGGTAAATTTAAACCATTAATAAATTATTGCTTTCATTAATGATAAATTTGTACTTATTTCTGTCATGTTACTTTTTGATTTCTCATAGTCCTCCTTTCCCCCATATTTCTGATTTTTAAAAATTGTTTGCACATGTGTGTGTTCATTTGGATTGTGTTCCCTTTATTCCACCTTTCCCCCATTGGAAGTAAATTAAGCAATTTGTTTATATTCTTTAATGACATCCCTTAAATTTTTACTGTATAATTTTAGCTTAACAAAGTGTTAACAGTAAAATAATCAACCCCCCACCTCTTTCTGAAACAGAAAGAGAAGTCTGGACTATATTGATATTTTATGTCTGTCTTTTCTTAAATAACCCTGGAATGTAGATACTTCATGTATTTCTTGACAGTATACATACATATTATATAGCTAAGTATGTGTGTGTATGCATGTGTAAGTTTGTTCAGTTCAGTTCAGTCACTCAGTCATGTCCGTCTCTTTCCGACCCCACGGACTACAGTATGCCAGGCCTCCCTGTCCATCATCAACTCCCGGAGTTTACCCAAACGCATGTCCATTGAGATGCCATCTCATCCTCTGTCGTCCCCTTCTCTTCCCGCCTTCAATCTTTCTCAGCATCAGGGTATTTTCCAAGGAGTCAGTTCTTCGCATCAGGTGGCCACAGTATTGGAGTTTCAGCTTCAACATCAGTCCTTCCAATGAATACCCAGGACTGATCTCCTTTAGGATGGACTGGTTGGATCTCCTTGCAGTCCAAGGGACTCTCAAGAGTCTTCTCCAACACCACAGTTCAAAAGCATCAATCCTTCAGTGCTTGGTTTTCTTTATAGTCCAACTCTCACATCCATACATGACTACTGGAAAAACCATAGCCTTGACTAGATGGACCTTTGTTGGCAAAGTAATGTCTCTGCTTTTTAATATGCTGTCTAGGTTGGTCATAACTTTCTATCCAAGGAGCAAGCATCTTTTAATTTCATGGCTGCAATCACCATATGCAGTGATTTGGAAGCCCCGAATATAAAGCCTGCCACTATTTCCACTGTTTCCCTGTCTATTTGCCATGAAGTGATGGGATCGGATGCCATGATCTCAGTTTTCTGAATGTTGAGCTTTAAGCCAACTTTTTTATTCCCCTCTTTCACTTTCATCAAGAGGCTCTTTAGTTCTTCTTCACTCTCTGTCATAAGGGTGGTGTCATCTGCATATCTGAGGTTATTGATATTTCTCCTGGAAATCTTGATTCCAGCTTGTGCTTCATCCAGCCCAGTGTTTCTCATGATGTACTCTGCATATAAGTTAAGTAAGCAGGGTGACAATATACAGCCTTGACGTACTCCTTTTCCTATTTGGAACCAGTCTGTTGTTCCAGTTCTAACTGTTGTCCAGTTCTAACTGTTGCTTCCTGACCTGCATACAGGTTTCTCAAGAGGCAGGTCAGGTGGTCTGGTATTCCCATCTCTTTAAGAATTTTCCATGGTTTGTTGTGATCCACACAGTCAAAGGTTTTGGCAGAGCCAATAAAGCAGAAATAGATGTTTTTTTTGAACCCTCTTGCTTTTTTGATGATCCAGCAGATGTTGGCAATTTGATCTCTGGTTCCTCTGCCTTTTCTAAATCCAGCTTGAACATTTGGAAGTTCATGTTTCACATATTGTTGAAGCCCGTCTTGGAGAATTTTGAGCATTACTTTACCTAGTGTGTGAGATGAGTGCAATTGTGTGATAGTTGAACATTCTTTGGCATCGCCTTTCTTTGCGACTGGAGTGAAAGCTGACCATTTCCAGTCCTGTGGCCACTGCTGAATTTTCCAAATTTGCTGGCATTTTGAGTGCAGCACTTTCACAGCATCATCAGTGTAAGTTTGTGTATGTGCCCAAAAGTTCAGAAAGAGGGAGGAAGACACAGAGAAAAATTTGGATTTATCTACATTTTTGCCATTTAATCTATTTACCATTTCTTCTTCTTTTTTTTTTTAAGCTTTAAAAAAAATTCAGCTATGGTGTGTGACTTGTGGGATCTCAGTTCCCCAACCAGGGATTGGGGCTTCCCTGGTGGCTCAGTGGTAAAGAATCTGCCTGCCAATTCAGGAGATGCAAGTTTGATCTCTGAGTGGGGAAGATCCCCTGGAGAAGGAAATGGCAATCCAGTCCAGTATTCTTTCCTGGAAAATTCCATGTACAGAGGAGCCTGGCGGGCTGTAGCTGTTCATGGGGTCAAAAAGAGTCGATCATGATTCAGCAATGAAAACAACAAAACCAGGAATGGAACTCAGGTCATGACAGTGAAAGGGCCAAATCCTAACCATTAGACCACCAGGGAACTTGCTACTATTCCTTCTTATATTTCTAATCATCCTTCTGGGATGTTTGCTTTTGAAATGTGTTCTTTTGGTGGTACTTTAGAGTCAATTTCTTGGTATTAAACTCTCTCTGTTGCTTGCTTGTTTTCTCTGCAAATGCCAGTCTCCCCTTTATTCTTGAAAGGTAATTTTGCTGAATGTATAATTCTAGTTTGATGTTTTTACACTATTTTAAAATATTTCCATTGTTTCCTGACTTCCATTGTACTCATTGAGAAGTCTGGTATCATCCTGTTTCTCCTTTAATCATCTCACTGGATAACTTTTCGAGTCCTTGGTTGATGATGTTCCCTAGATTCACTATGATATTTCCAGTTGTGGGAATCTTGGTACTTATCTTGCTTAGAGTATGTTGGATCTGTGGAATCATGTCTTTCAGGAGGTCTGGAAAAGTACTGCCTTTCTTCTGTTTCTTTCTTTTTTTAATTCTAAAATTCCAAGAAGACACATGTTAGGCTTTCTTTAATCTAGCTTCCATATCTTTTAATCCCTCTTTCATAGCTTCTGTCTCTGTACCTCTTTTTGGCACAGATGGGCACCAAATTCATCCAAAATGAGTTATTCAGATATAACTTTCAGTTCCCTAATTCTCAATTTTAATCTGTTTTATCAACTTATTGCCTATTCATTCACTTTTCAAATTTCAATGGTTACATTTTTTACTTCCAGAAGTATGAGTTAATTTTTCTTTTTATTCCTGATAATCTCATTTTCTATGCTTATCTCTGTGATTATGGCCTTCACTTTGTACATAAAGCACATATATAGCTCTTCTCCATTGTTTCTGACCATTCCAAACTCCACAGTCCTTGTGGGCCAAGTCTGCTGCTCCTGTTGATGCCCATGCATCGTGGCTTCCCTTCTTTTGGGTTTGGTTATCTGCACTTTGGAAGTCATGCTTGATGTTAATCTTCCACCTTCCTGGGGGTTCAGGTTCCCTGGCCCTCGTGGAGTTAAGGCCACATGAATTAGGCCTTGGCTTCTTGATTTCTGAGCCCCCAAGGCCCCAGTGATTCCTGCCCAAGATACTCATGTCTGGGCCTAGAAAGCCCCAACCTGACAGCTTTAATAAAAGCTCTGTTTTTTTTACTCATTTATTTTTATTCTGTGGTGGGTGGGGTGGGTGAGGAAAGTCTCTGGAGGTTTCACCTACCTATGGGATACCAAGAAAGCCATAAAGATTGCTTCATATGAGGAGTCTAGTTGTGGAATAAAAGAGTCCTTCACCAACATGCATGTGTTTAATGGTACTGAAATGTACATTTAAAAATGGTTAAATGATAAACTTTATGTTACATTATTTTATTACAATAAAACAACAAAAACAACTCCAACCATTGAAAGAAAAGTTTCAGCTAGACAAATATATATTTTGGCTTACATTATTATTTTATTTCACTTTTAAATACTATTTTCTCGTTATTTACCTATAGCATGATGCAGACTGTGGAGCTACAGTTTCTCCTTTGTAAGTTAATTCATAAGAACTATTTATTTATGGAGTACTAGCAAGGAATTCAAGAAAAGTCATTTTGATTAAAGATGTTTGAAGCAATAAAAATATGTTATGAAGTGTCTATATAAAGATGGTGCATCTCACTTTGAGAGAAAATAAATTCTAGACCTGGTGGGATGGTATCTGTAATACTTCAAATGAAATATTGGTTTAAAGAAGAGAATTTGTAAAAGCAAAAAAAAAAAACAAAACAAAACCCAGAAAGTAACAGTGTAATGGAAGAAATAAACCCACACTGTGTGGATTCAAAGCCTAGCTATATGACTTACTTGTTATTTGGTCTGGGGAGGTGATTTAAACTTTCTCTGCCTCTATTTTTTAGTGTGTAAGATGGAGCTGAGTTGGACAATAATGTCTGAGTAGTTGATTAAATCAACAGTCAGCCATAATGGAACTAAACACTCATTAATGCTCATAATGAGCATTAAACAGTCAGCTTAGAGTATAAGCATGAAGTTAAAGCCAGACAAAGCTCCGGTCCCTGACCAAAAGACTCCTCTGGTTATATGGACCCAGGACAGGAAGGAAAAGTACTGAGTACTGAATTGCAGCAGGGAAGGATGTCTTCACGTCTCCTCTTCTCCACTGAAAGTTCTCCACAGAGACATCTGAGGACAATCTCAGCAGAAGGCCCAAGATAAAGAGGTTGGACCTGAACTTGAAATATAAATATGTGTAAAAGCATGGCTAGGCAGAGAGACTGGAGTCCTTGACTGCAGCTCCTTCAGAGCCTGTAGTGAATGGACTGTGCACCCAGTCTGGTGTTGGAGCTTTCCCCCAAGAGGCCTGCTGGCAAAGCCTCTGTAAGTTAGGTCAATTTTGAAAATCACAATAGTTTTCTGGGCCAGTAGCTGGACTCCTCACCAGGAAAAAGAGAAAAATGATTCATTCCATCTTTGCAGGAATAAGGAAAATGATGGCCAAAACCTCTCACCAGGGAAGCAGAGTTAACTGAAGCCCGTGGTGTTACACAAGGTCTGAGCAAGCTGAGGGTTCATCTGGCCTCAGATCTGAGAAGCACTACCAGTCACTTCCACATACCCAAGTATAGGTGGGCCTTTCTTGGAAGTAAGGGCTTCACTGAACTCTGGTCTGTTCTCTTTCAGAATAACGAAGCAGATGCTGTGACATTGGATGGAGGCTTGGTGTATGAGGCAGGCCTGAAGCCCAACAACCTGAAGCCTGTAGTGGCAGAGTTCCATGGGACAAAAGAGAGTAAGTTCTCCCTCAGACCCAGAAAGTAATTAGTAGCCCTTGTTCTCTCCTGGTAGATACTGGGTCTTGTCTCATTCAGGCAGGTAATGGAGATTAGCTACTTATGAGCTTTCCCCATTGGGGAGTGAGTGGGGAATGAGGGGCCCTGTCAACAACCATAGATACAACTCAAGGTCTCTGGGAGCTTTGGGCTAGTTGAGGACTGGTGCTCATGATGCTGACCTCCTAGGCAGGCTGTGTACAATGAACTGAACCATTGGGGTTTAGAATAAAGAGGAATTCTCCAAGAACCACATGCAGGGGAGGGACTACACAGGAGCAGGTACCTGGAGGCCCCACAGCCTTGGATCTCATCTGAGAGCAACTCAACTGTTCCTGGGTCTGTGTGAGGAACAAAAATACTAAGAGAAAGTTAGCAATGTGGCCTCTCACAGTTCCAGCTTCCAGGGGGAGACTCATTTGGTAGGTACAGGCAGACACTCCCTGCAAGGCCAAGGTAGGCAAGAGCATTGGGGCATGTGTGCACATAGCTTCCTTGAACCTGGGTGTGCCTGGAGGGTTAATACAAATGTCTCTTCTGTGGTCCCTCCTTTCCCCTGTAAGCCTAGGAAGGCTTTTCCGGTCCTCTTTAGGATCCAATCCATCATAAATGTTACCTCTGGGTAACCCTGCCCTGCTCAGGAGCCCAGTAGTAATGAACAGTGCTTCTCTGGTGGGCCATTTGAGAGTCTTTCATCCACACTGTTCCTTCGCAGACCCGCAAACTTTCTATTATGCTGTGGCGGTGGTGAAGAAGGGCACTGAATTCAACCTGAATGAGCTCAAAGGCAAGAAGTCCTGCCACACAGGCCTCGGCAGGTCCGCTGGGTGGAACATCCCCATGGGCAAACTTTATAAGCAATTGCCTGATCCACAGGAATCTATTCAGAGAGGTAAGTGGGCAGGAGGGTGAGCACCCTCAGCAGGAATCTCTTCTTCAGATGCCCACACGGGCCACACTGGCATCACTCAGACATGGTCAGGCGATGATGTGTGATGGCTCTGGGAGTGGACGTGGGAGATTAACCTGCTTTAAATGGGCAAATCTGCTGCATTAGCAGCTATTGTGGGCTGTCATGAGTGCTTTTTTCCTCGAAGCTCCTGACACCCCACCAGAGGCTGTCCTGAGGAACTGGGGGAAGGGAATGGAGGGCTTCGTTCAGGCTCCTGGGCCCTTTGTCCACTTCCCTGGGGTGCTTTCATGTCTGTGGCTGATGATTTCCCCATTCTGCTGGAGTTTCCTAATGGCCATCTGCTGGCTATGAACTTGGCCTACACCTCTCCGGGTGGGTCCTCCATCTGGTCTTGGAGGCCAAGTCCAGAGGGACACATAGGCCTATGCCAGTCTGGTTTTTGGGGAGGCGGGATGAGGGAAGGGGTTAAATATGCCTCTTTTTGAAAACCTTTAGTCTTAAAGAGAGGCTTCTCAGGTGGCCCTAGTGGTAAAGAAGCTGCCTGCTAATGCAAGAGACTCAAGAGACATGGGTTGAATCCCTGGGTCGGGAAGATCCCCTGGAGGAGGACATGGCAACCCATTCCACTACTCTTGCCTGGGAAGTCCCATGAAGAGAGGAGCCTGTCGGGTTACCGTCCATGGGATTGGTGCAAACACGCATTCATAAAGGCAAACTGTAACTGTGGGGATGCTGGTTTTGCTTGGATCTCTCTTGTGAGCCTGGACTGGGAGCTGAAGTTGCCCCTGGCCAGGCTGGCTCATGCCCTGTGTTTCTGTGTCTCTGTGTTGAGCAGCTGCGGCCAACTTCTTCTCGGGCAGCTGTGTCCCCTGTGCGGATCAGTCATCATTTCCCAAACTGTGTCAACTGTGTGCGGGGAAAGGGACAGACAAGTGTGCCTGCTCCAACCACGAACCATACTTCGGCTACTCAGGGGCCTTTAAGTGAGTGAGACTGGCTGCTTCTCCATCCTGGTTCCTAAGTGTCCAGTGTCTTCAGGCTGGGGGGCTTCCCTGACCCGTAGCACCAGCCTGCAAAGGGGCATCCAGGGTACCTAATCCCCTCCCAGGAACTCAGTGACACAGCTGGGACTCTCCAGGCCAGGCCAGGGCACACTCTCTTCATGTGACGTTGACAAGGAAGCCCCCTCCTGGGACCCTTTCTGTCTCCCCAGAGTTTTCTCACTGGACTAGGCAGAGCCAGAAGCAACAGGCACTGCCCTGGTGCCCAGGGTGCTCCGTGGTGACGGCCCTCTGCTCTCCATGGCAACAGTGTCACCTGCTCAGTGCACTGGCCTCTCTCCTGCCTTCTTTCTCTGTCCCTGACCAGGCAGCTCGTGTGGCTGATTTCTTGGTCCTTCTTCTCGCTTGGTTATATCCTAAAGTTTTAGAGCAAGCGAAGGGCACATTTCCTCCCTCAAGATACACTATGCCTTTATCCTTCACCAGAAGTTTGAAAGCACTTTTCACTATTGAAATATCTTCAATACCTTTCTGATGCTTTGGGGCACATGGTGATAGCCCTCCAGTTCCTGGGAGCTCACCCCACATCTCCATGGTGCCCTGGGGATCAGCTCCCCATGGTGCTTCCTCAGCTGTGGGCCTGCACAGAGGCTTCCCCCAGGTCCTACCCTTGTCCCAAGGCTGGACGGTGTGGTCAGACACTGGTGCCTGAGGAGAAGGGCCTGCCCTTCAAGAATCTCCCTAATGTGTCTCCTCTCCACAGGTGTCTGTCGGAGGGCGGTGGGGACGTGGCCTTTGTCAAGCACTCAACGGTATTGGGTAGGTGATAGGAAAAGAATCTATAGATTCCTTCAAGCAGAGGGCCTTCCTTTTCTTTGTCTTTATGCTCAGGTGTCAGACGTTGGCACAGTGTGTTCCTCCTTTCTCAATGCTGGGATGTTCACCTATGAGGAGGTGTGTGTCCATAGGGTCCCCATCTGGGCTCCTGGGTCTCATCCTATCATCCAGCTTACTGAATACCAGGCCAGTGTTGCAATAGCAAAGGATCAGGAGCAGGTCTGGCTGACCTTGTCCTGTAGTCGGCCTGCTGAGATGAAATTTCTTGTGGGGTGTGGGCAGTCACCCCTGCACTGGGCATCAGAAGCTTCTCGACCTGTAACTGCCAATGGGATCTTGAGCAAGTCAGTTTCCTTCTGGCCTTCACTGTTTGCTCTTGGCTTCTCAGCTCACATAGTTCTTGATTCAGTGAGGTTGCATGGGAGAGGAGGGGGCACCTGCCATCGACCTATGTGGGCTTCCCTCCCCAGACAACCTGCCTAACCCAGACGACAGGAAAAACTATGAGCTGCTCTGCGGGGACAACTCCCGGAAGCCTGTGGATGATTACCATGAATGCTACTTGGCAAAGGTCCCTTCCCACGCGGTTGTGGCTCGAACCGTGGGCGGCAAGGAGGATGTGATCTGGGAACTTCTCAATCACGCCCAGGTATCAAATCCCCTGTCTTCTCTCCTGCGTAGCAGTCCCTGGTTGGATTTGGGGCATTTCCTTCACTCCCTCTCAGCCACTGTGGAAGTCATTCTGTGTTCAGGACATAGCAGGGACCATGCCACACACCATCCACTTGCATGCAGACACCCACCCAGTAAAACCTTCTTGGAATTGCACATAGCCTAGTCCTGCATTGTCATCTGCCAGACCCTTACATTCTGGGTTAGTGATATGAAGCTGCTCCTTCTTGCTCTCTTTCATTTCTCTTCCATTGGAAAGGAAATGGTCTCTCTTCCAAGTCCCTCAGCCTGACAGAAAGGGAGTTGCACATACAGCCAGCCTTCCTTTCCCAGAGCAGCAAAATGCCAGAACCGAGCCATTTTCTCTTGTCCAGACCTCCCATCTGTCCATCAAGGCAATCACACAGCCTCTGAAGTTGAGTTTCTTACACTCAGTGAGCTATCATCCAGCCAGAGAGACAGGCATAGAAAAAAGTTCAGAGTATCAGATATTTATTAAATGGCCCAAAAGGGCTGTGAATGGAGAAGGTGCTGGGTGGGAAACAGCAGGTCTGACTGCCCTCTCTCCTCGTATCTTGAAAATTTCACAGTTTTAATCTTTGGCCCATTTTGCAGCACCCCTTGTTGCTGTAGCCATTCAGATATGTGTTTTACTACAAACAGGAACATTTTGGCAAAGATAAACCAGACAACTTCCAACTCTTCCAATCCCCTCATGGGAAGGATCTGCTATTTAAGGACTCTGCTGATGGGTTTTTAAAGATTCCTTCTAAGATGGATTTCGAGCTGTACTTGGGATATGAATATGTCACTGCTCTTCATGATGATTACCATGAATGCTACTTGGCAAAGGTCCCTTCCCACGCGGTTGTGGCTCGAACCGTGGGCGGCAAGGAGGATGTGATCTGGGAACTTCTCAATCACGCCCAGGTATCAAATCCCCTGTCTTCTCTCCTGCGTAGCAGTCCCTGGTTGGATTTGGGGCATTTCCTTCACTCCCTCTCAGCCACTGTGGAAGTCATTCTGTGTTCAGGACATAGCAGGGACCATGCCACACACCATCCACTTGCATGCAGACACCCACCCAGTAAAACCTTCTTGGAATTGCACATAGCCTAGTCCTGCATTGTCATCTGCCAGACCCTTACATTCTGGCTTAGTGATATGAAGCTGCTCCTTCTTTCTCTCTTTCATTTCTCTTCCATTGGAAAGGAAATGGTCTCTCTTCCAAGTCCCTCAGCCTGACAGAAAGGGAGTTGCACATACAGCCAGCCTTCCTTTCCCAGAGCAGCAAAATGCCAGAACCGAGCCATTTTCTCTTGTCCAGACCTCCCATCTGTCCATCAAGGCAATCACACAGCCTCTGAAGTTGAGTTTCTTACACTCAGTGAGCTATCATCCAGCCAGAGAGACAGGCATAGAAAAAAGTTCAGAGTATCAGATATTTATTAAATGGCCCAAAAGGGCTGTGAATGGAGAAGGTGCTGGGTGGGAAACAGCAGGTCTGACTGCCCTCTCTCCTCGTATCTTGAAAATTTCACAGTTTTAATCTTTGGCCCATTTTGCAGCACCCCTTGTTGCTGTAGCCATTCAGATATGTGTTTTACTACAAACAGGAACATTTTGGCAAAGATAAACCAGACAACTTCCAACTCTTCCAATCCCCTCATGGGAAGGATCTGCTATTTAAGGACTCTGCTGATGGGTTTTTAAAGATTCCTTCTAAGATGGATTTCGAGCTGTACTTGGGATATGAATATGTCACTGCTCTTCAGAATCTTAGAGAAAGTAAACGTAAGTATTTGGAAAGGACCATGTGGCTCTAGGAGTCTGGAAACCTGGTGATGGTGGGGACTAGAGATTAGAGTCTTTCCAGGTACTAAACACCTGTCCCAACCATCCTTCATTTGCCCTGACTGTCCAGCCCAGTGTTAGATGGATGCTAAATGACTTTGGCCATCATGAGATGAACCTGGACATCACCAAAGGACATTAAAGGAAATTCACACTTAAAATTATTTTTATCAGAAACTCTCTGGAGGCCAAGTAGTTAAGATTCTGTGTTTTTACCACAGAGAGCCCAAGTTCGATCCCTGGTCAGGGAACTAAGATCCCACAAGCCACAAGGCAGGCCCCCCACCCAAAAAGAAGATTTGTGTTGATGCCAGTATTGCTTCCCTTGTATAAGCCAGGGCCCCCCTACCCACTTCATGAAGCCAATTAGCCTGGTACAAAGTAAGTCAAATAGAATGAAACTGCTACAAACAAGCACATCTGCAGCCAGTGCTGTGGTCACCATGTACCATGGTGAAGCTGGAGCTTTAGACAGGTCAGTCCTTCTCCTGAATTATTTCCTTGGGTCATTAGAGATGTGTTTGAGCACTCATTTATTCAACAGACATGTATTGACCATCTACTATTAATAGCTATAAACTATGTAACATGCTGGGCATATAATGGTGAGGCAAAAATGTATTAGATTTTGTTGTCACAGAACTTTCAGACCAGTGGGGAAGACAAATGTTGAAGGAATAGTCACTCCACTGAATGATCAATTGAAATGAGAGATTTCTTCAGCAGAAAGAAAACAAAAACCCAGAACAAAATATCACAGCTCTACAAGAGTGCGAAAGCAAAGGTAAACAGGTCCAAGAATTGAGGTAAAGCTTCCCTGAGGAAATGCCTCTTGAGCCAGTCTGAAAGTTGGGTAGGTGTTTGTTTATTCAGTAAACATTTATTGCACTGACCATGAGCCTGGCATTAAGGGTGCCATGGAGGACAAGACAGGCATGGCCCTCGCCCTAGCCAAGCTTATGTTCTCCTGCAGGGAACAGATGGTAAACAATGAATAAATATACAACACCTGCTCAGATGGTTAAGTGCTATTTCTAAATGAGGGGAAAATAACCCCAGCCTGAAGTGATAGAGTGCCTTGGAGTTGGGAGGAGAGTGGACTTCTCAGAAGAAGTCATTTTAAGTTAAATCTAAACGATAAGAAGCCAGCCAAGAGACTGTCATTGCCTTTAATTTCTAAGAGATTAATTCCTTGAATGGAATCTGTTTGTGTATTGCTAAAAAAATCCCAGCGTCTTCCTGAAGACAGCAGCAAAACCAGCAAGCCACATCTGGGCCTCTTTTCATCACTGGTTTTCTTGCTTATGTCCTAGCCCCGGACACCTCAAAGGATGAGTGCAAGGTGAAGTGGTGTGCAATTGGTCACCATGAGAGGACAAAGTGTGATCGGTGGAGTGGGTTCAGTGTCGGGGCAATAGAGTGTGAAACAGCAGAAAACACTGAAGAGTGCATCGCCAAGATCATGGTACGTCCCTCCTGCCTCCACAGGGCAGCGTGCCTGCCACTGCTGCCTACCTGTCCCCAAGGCTGAGTGAGTGTTCCTGGGAATTATACAAAAAGCAGGGTTCCCGGAAACCTCACCCTCAGTGTGGGGGACCTCAATGTGAGGTCCCCGCAGGGTCCTCAGGACCTTTGAGCTTGTGAATCTGAAGGGCTCCGGAGGGCTTATTTCCTCCTAGTGTCAGCACTCGCTGGAGGGCAATCTGAGCTGTGTCTGCTTAGGGAGGCCGGACCTCGGTGTGAGTGTGCCTGAGACCCACAGTATGCCATGGCAAGTGTGACAAGGTCATGTTACTGAGCAAACACGTGGAAGTTTAGCTTTGTTGCTCACAAGGGCATTCCACATTTGCTTTTAGAAGTGTTGAAAAGCTAAAGGCTATAAATAAGAAAATACATAAAAAGTAACTGTAACCTTATAAATCAGAGAAAATCCTGTTAACTGGGCTCATATTATGCATGCAATTTATTACCCTTTTCTCACCTAAAGTTATCTAGGGAGCTTTTTTCTTGTTTTCAGAGAATGACTTGCTCCTGTGTTCTCAAAGAAAAATTTCATTCTTTGAAAACATGATTTTTAAAAATGTATTTTAGTTTATTTTTGAAAGAATATACACTATTCTGTTTACAGTGGCTTGTCTGGGGACCAAGTTTATGAGGAACTATCGCTTTCATTTCTTTTTTTCTCCTTTTTTAACTCAAATTTTCTTTTTATTTTCCATTATGGTTTAATTATAGGATACTGAACACAGTTCTCTGTGCTATACAGCGGGACTTACTGCCTATCTAGTCTGTGATTAATATAATAGTTTGCATCTGCTAATTCCAAACTCACAATCCATCCTTCCTCCACCCCCCTCTACCTTGGCAACTGGAAGTCTGTCCTCTATTTCTGTGAGTCTGTTTCTGTTTTGTAGATAAATTCATTTGTGTCATATTTTAGATTCCACATATAAGTGATATTATATGGTATTTGTCTTCCTCTGAATGACTTCACTTAATGTGATAATGTCTAGATCCATCTGCTGCAAATGGCACTATTTCATTCTTTTTATAGCTGAGTAGTATTCCATTGTATATATATGCCACATCTTCTTCATCCATTCATCTGTTGATGGACATTTATGGTTGTTTCCATGAAAACATGATGTTCTAATGTTGATAGTTATTCCAGAGTCTGGGTGTGCTGCAATTTATCGAGCCATTTCCTTACTATTAAGTCTGGTCCTGTCTCATTGCTATTATGAATCATACTTGCATGTTTTTGCCTACTTACACATTTTGCCCAAATAGTTTCCCACACATCTGATTGTTCCTTTAGGGTATATTCCTCAAAAGTATATTTCTAGGCCTAATGGGAAGCTTGGCAGTCCTATTGAATTAAGCATCTCTGAACTTTGGGGCTTATTAGCTCTATTCAGTTCAGTTCAGTTCAGTTGCTCAGTTGTGTCCAATTCTTTGAGACCCCAAGGACTGCAGCATGCCAGGCGGAACTCCTTGTCTATCACCAACCTTTGGAGCTTGCTCAGACTCATGTCCATCAAGTCCAACCATCTCATCCTCTGTTGTCCTCTTCTCTTCCTGCCTTCAATCTTTCCCAGCATCAGGGTCTTTTCAAATGAGTCAGTTCTTCACATCAGATGGCCAAAGGATTGGAGTTTCAGCTTCAGCCTCAGTTCTTCCAATGAATATTCAGGACTGATTTCCTTTAGGATGGACTGGTTGGATCTCCTTGCAGTCCAACAGACTCTCAAGAGTCTTCTCCAACACCACAGTTCAGTTTATTTGACTCATTTGAGCTTATTTTACTCATTCATTAAAGATCTTTTATTGACCAAGCACTGAAATAGCACTCAGCTAATGAGGTCAAGATTCAGGGCGAGGCACTCCATGCTACAGACACAGCCCTATGTCCCTGATTCCATTTTTTTGTCTTCCAAATGAGAATTCTTGGTGTCAGAAAGCTGTTGTGAGTGTACCTGGAACAGTGTGTCCTATGAAAGGCCAAGGGGACTGAATGTGGGTCTTTGCTCCTGAAGAAACAAAGCAAATCCCCCAGAGTTTATCATCAGTTCATCATGGTTTGGTTGAAAATGGGAGTACTTTTTATTTTCTATGTCAGGTCTGCCTGACTGATCCTTTGGGGGTCCTTTTACCAGCACCTTCTGTCTCTTCATGACCTGTTCTGGCAAGGTTGCTTCAAGGAAACAACCAGAAGGGCATGTGGGACTGGAGAGGATCTCTTTTTACCTGCTGTGATGTTATGTCTTTGCAGAAAGGAGAAGCTGATGCCATGAGCTTGGATGGAGGCTACCTCTACATAGCAGGCAAATGTGGCCTGGTGCCTGTCCTGGCAGAGAACTATGGTAAGTAGGAGGGGCAGTGGTTCATTGCCTCTGAGACAGGTTGTTAAAGAAAACAACCTGAGACAGGAGACAAAATCACAGCCTGATTCAGCCACAGGGAGCATAAAGCTCTTGCTTACTGAGCACCTCCTACTTGCTAGGTTCTGGGCTCCCTCATCTCTAGTCCCTTTTGTTATCTTGAAGGATGAGAATCTTCTACCATACCTTTTACTGTACTCCAACAAGGGAGTTGGAGACTTTGCACTTGGAAGTTCTAGCTAAAAGTGACCCCTCTGCAGAGGACAGCTAGATTCTCAGCTGGAATTCCTGGCAGGTCTTCTTGCTTCCAAAGTCCGCACTTCTCCTGTTGCCCTGGTGCAGGTATTCAAGTACAATTAGCAGAGTTACACTATGGTCACAGGATAGATAGAGCGGGAAACTTGAAATTTAAAATTTTGGGCTAAGTTCCAGAGGCCAGGGAGCTAAAGTGAGCTTGCATAATCCAAACAGCCTGGACCTTTTGGGAATTGGTAATACGTAGATAGTTTTCCTGGCTCTTATAATTCTGAGTTGCATATGGGGAAGAAAATTTTCAATCTATACATGAGTGTTTAATGACTTTGGTTTTTCCCCTGCAGAAACTGGGGGTGGAAATTGTAAGGACACACCAGAAAAAGGTGAGTTGGTATCGGTAACCTCATGAGTTTAAGATAAATTCCCATTGCTTTTGGGAAAGCATAGGCAAGCTTAAATTCAAATCAAAAGGAGATAAGAGACCAATTTTCAGAATCAAAAGAACCATAGGAGAAGAATAATTGGCAAGATAATTACACTTGCCATGACACATATATGGGAATTCTCACTTAATCCTATAAGATGTATCTTGTCGTCTTCTAGTGATGCATACAGGAACAACAGCTTAGAGAGATTACAAGTTGTCTAGACTCTGACATCCAACAAGCAAATACAGACCCTCCCACCACTGCTTTGCATTGCGTGCAGCCTGCAAAGTTATAAACAAGAGTTAGCACGAGCCCAGAAACCTTGCTGACGTGCCTGGCAGGCCTGAGGGGAGAGGCTCGCAAAGGAAGGTGTCTGGAGACATGAAATTGCCCAGCCTCGATGAATATCGGGGTGCACGTGTCTCTTTCAGATCTGGTTTCCTCAGTGTGTATGCCCAGAAGTGGGATTGCTGGGTCATATGGCAGTTCTATTTCCAGTTTTTAAAGAAATCTCCACACTGTTTTCCATAGCGGCTGTACTAGTTTGCATTCCCACCAACAGTGTAAGAGGGTTCCCTTTTCTCCACACCCTCTCCAGCATTTATTGCTTGTAGACTTTTGGATAGCAGCCATCCTGACTGG